TAAGACTTAACTGCAAAACATTTTCCTAATTAGGCTTTCATCTTTTAAATAAAAATAATTAAAACAAACTCAGTTCACGGGAGAGGCAAAACTAGATTATTAAAATATTTATAATTTTTTTGTAAACATCTGTCAAAATCTAATAAAGGTTATGTTTTTAAAAAAGGAACTTGATTCAAGATATATTTTCTGAAAACAGGTCTTAAAGGGTTAGTTCACCCAAAAATGAAAATTAGCTTGTATTTTACTCACCCTCGAGGCATCCTAGGTGTATATGACTTTCTTCTTTCAGACGAATCCAGTCGGAGTTCTATTAAAGGGGTCATATGATGCTTTTTTAATAAATTTAGGTTTTTTTTTTTTTTTTGGGGTATTAATTGAGTTTTATCTAATAATATCAATTATCCATTGTCCAATATTGTTTTGGACCCCACTGACTTTCAATTCAATGTATGGTCAAAAACAATTGAAACATTCTTCACAATATTTATTTATATCATTTTGATTAACTATCCACTTTAAGGTCATAAACTTTCATTAAAATGTTATTCTGCAAATTATTATTCTATTATGCAAAAGCAGCTAGAAAATCAATATGCTGAACAGGTCATGCAGTAACTCTTATTATCATGTAATATAACTTCTAAACCCTGGTATCGTTCCTGCAGCCCAAAGTGCTAGCAATGTCAAGGTCATGCATGGGTTTGATTCCCAGAGAATCTAAAAAAAAAAAAAAAAAAGTGTAACTTGAATGCAATGCAATCTCCTGAACATAAATGCATAAATATAAATGTATTGACCAATGAGCATTCAGGAACTGGATGTGCTTTAAAAATTATGTACAGTTAGAACAGTAAAATAAATATTTTACAAGGAAGGAGAATTGCTTTGTTTGTGTTATTAAATACTCATGCATTTAAACAGTATTTTGGCACTAGCCAAATTAGGTAGATTCCAACATGGACACGTTGCATGATATGAAACAACGAAAACCTAGACAATTAAAGGTAAAAATAAAATAAAAATACAACCCAGATGACATTAAATACAGGTTCACTTGCAGCCAGAATAACTGTACAGAGCTGACAGTACTCTTTTGCAAAGTGAATTACAGGCTGCTGAGAGCACAGAACCACTGAGATTCAAGAGACAGTCTGTGTCATATTAATAATTCTGTTGGGCCTGCAGTTTGTGGTCATATAGGCCTAGTGAACAAACTGAAATATGTATTAATATACATACATTTTGTTTCTTTTTATAAGCTAACTTTAGTACTGTGTTTGGTAATGGTTCACTACTCAATGTCCAACGTACAGCTGAGAGGAAGAAAAAAAAATGTTGAGAGCCACTTCTTCAGGCTTAAAAAAAGCAGATTTTTTTCTTAAAGCGCTTAAAGATTTAAATTACAGTACATTAATCTAACCAACTAGAAAATGAAATATTCATCATTCTCTAACAATGACTTTACATAGCATGTGATTAAGCAGTGCTGCAGGAGAATGTCAAACAGCTGAGGACAGTGTCCCCTAGTGGACATCCCAAATAAAACCCAAAGTACTGTCCACTACTGTGTAAAATGGAACATTAAGATTCCTAACAATCAAACAAACAGCATCAGCGAGTGTAAAATTCTCTGAATCACTGGCAGTTATGACTGTAATGCACATCATTTCCTCTAACTTCCTTTACGGTCTTGTTTTTGTTTTCTTTCTTTTTTTCTTTCTAATTTATGCATTTTAATGAGTGCATTTTTCTAATGCATATGTATTAGTATTGGTGCCTGCTTAAGCCTAGGAGGAGATGCATGGAGGATGAAGGAGTCAGTGATTCATCCCTCCCAGATGAGCTCAGCAGATTCTATCCATCATTTTATAATTGCCATGGCACATGCTCTTACTTTTACCCTAAAAAAATCAAATAAAAAAATCAAACTACAGTGTACACAATATAGAAAACACACTTTAAAACACCATTTAATAACACAGTAAGTGATCAGGGAAAAAAAAAAAAAAAAAGGAAACAATTTCCAACTTGTCACGCCATAATTTATCCTTTTCAAACATGTCACTGCTCTATAAGGTAGCTCACAGACATTTTTCCATCTCAAATACAGTATTAAAAGCAGCAGAACTGATTTGTTGTAAAATTGTATGATGAACTGAAAAAAATTTATACAATTAAAGGGGTCATATGATGTTGCTAAAAATAACATTATTTTGTGTATTTGGTGTAATTACATAAAACAATTGCTATCACTAATTTTAATGTCAGTGATGTTACTGTCTCCTACTGCATTCAATTAGGGGTAACACCACATCTGCATTGCAGCATATGGGACATTAGTATTGTTTTTATTCTACAGACAAATGAAATTAACATGGTTTAGTTTTTTTTGATAAATCTTCAGATGAAATCGTCACTGCAATTGTAGGCTAACCCCTACACTAGATTAAAGAGAAAAACTTTTTCAGTCTTCACAGGATTCACTCAACCATCATTTCTGTTGCCAAGTAAGCATGTTAAAGGACCACAGATCCATTGCCAGTGCCATGCTGCTAATTGTCAATTTTTCATCAGCTTTCAACCCAATGCCTCCTGCTAGCCTAAAAAAAACCCCCAAAAAAAACCTAAACCACAATTTTGGATCAAATGCTCTGGATCATGGATTCCCATGCATCCTTCACTGATGGCTGATTGTTTCTGCCAGGTGAGGAAAAATGATCTTCGACATACGTTAATGAAGGATCCAAGCCATAATTAGGGAGCAAATTATCATAAAGACTTGAGGGTGGGCTCTTAAGCAATTACTTAGAACCACCAGAATGGTTTTATCTGTTCAGATCAATCCTTAAAAAATGAAAGACAGGTTGGATGAAACTCGCTTTCTGACAGTAGGGGCGCTAATTGATGTCAAACACAGGCATAATAACACCTTTTAAAAACCAACTGCAAAAAATGCAGTCTAAATGAAAATGTAGTCTATTAAATGTATTCTACGAGTAATGAAATGCCATTAAATATGAAGGCAATTATTCATCTCCTATTTAATAACAAGGCCATCTAATAACGCCTATTCTTGTAACTTGGGCAAGTTGGATATGAGCTCTGAACCACAGCTACAAAACAAAGAATTCATAAATGTTTCGAAGCTTCATGAAGCAGTGATTCAGAAGCGCAATTCAATATCACGGAGAGGAAACATAGTATTTACTTGTTTCATACAGCCGTTCAGATTTGTATTTATGGTGTTTATCAAACATCATTAAATACAAGAATACAGAGCAAGAGGTTCTGGATTCTTGCTTCTTTTTACTGTCGCTTAGCAAAAATAGTCAAGTCGCAGTTTTATGTTACAGCAGCGTATCTGTCATAGAGTAAAAACGCGATAGGAAGTGTTATATTGCTGATAAACAACAGTTCAGTAGTAAATATTGAGCAACTTACATTTTATAGACATTAGGCCAGCGATGTCAAAGCAGAATTAATCTGTCCGAGCAATACACAGTAGTAATGTTTGTTTTTGTCCTTGAATGAGTCATTAGATTTGAACGAATCGGTTGAGTGAATGATTCATTGACAGACGCATACTTGTTGCCACCTACCGACGTGATGATGAGACATGCGGAAAGAGTCGCTGAAAAATCCCCAGGCCAGTACAGGTGCATCTCAATAAATTAGAATGTCGTGGAAAAGTTCATTTATTTCAGTAATTCAACTCAAATTGTGAAACTCGTGTATTAAATAAATTCAATGCACACAAATGCTGAAATACACATACAATAAAATGTAATAACTATAATTAAATTTATATATCTTCTAGTTATTTTTATGTACTCTAATTTAAAGTGATGCTCTCCTGTGTTCAAAAACAAGCCTCCAAATTAAACCATATGGTAGCATGAAACATTAGGGACAGAAAGGTGTACACAAAACAAATCTCAGACAAACATTAATGCATTATCAATATATTTGAGCTCAACCACATAAAAAAAATAGTGTCATTTCTGTGTACAAAAATGTACATTTCTTTCTCTCTGGACTTAGCAGTCTTAACTTTCACTGACAGCACCTACAATAATGAAAAAATGCAATCAAACAATACATGATTTATCAGTTTTGAACCCATTACATGGCATGGTATTTACAGTAGCTCAGCATATAACTGGGGTGCAAAGATGCGTGGCCTTTTTTGCAACTGCAAGGTTTAACATTCATGCTCTTTTAGTGCATAAGACAGGTAGTGCACACGGCTTTCCACACCAGCCAAACACAACAGACAGTCATGATAGAAAAATAAGGCTCTGTATATAGTCACTTTTCATAACATATTCTTTGTTCCAGTAAAAATACAGTCCATGACAGTCAGTGCGTCTGCAGTGTGGTAGTACATTCATTTTTCCACTGAAAACGAATAGGATGAGAATACAATTTATATTCAGTAGACATTTTGGACTAATAGGCCAGTGTTGACAGGCAAAATCAATAATATTCAGATGAATCGCATTAAACTTGTCAAGAATGTGTCTGGGTCATATCATATATCACACCAAAATTGAAAGAAACAAAAAAATCCACAGATGTTTTTAGGACCATAATTTTTTTTTTTTTTTTTTTGATTGTTACATTATTTTCATGGTAAGCAAGCACATTTCCCTGCAATTTTAATTATTCTAATACAAAACATCTCATTCCATTTTTTTCTTTAACATGTATATATTATAGTATTAGTTCTATTAAAAAAAAAGAAAAAGAATGGTACTCTTTTTTTTTTTTTATATAATGACCAACTAATGAGAACCCCTTCTGAAAATAGTTACATTATTTTCATGACAACTATGTAATATTAAACTATTAATGTAGCAAATTATTTTCATTATTTAAAAAAGTAACCTTTCTTTTTCTTTAAATTCTGCATAAATTACAGGTGATTGAATAAATTCTATAATATATACACATTTTGTATTATTTACATAATATATATAAATATAGATGATGCAATATAAATAATAATAATAATAAATAAGTTTTGTATTACAATAATAAAACCTACAGGGGAAATATGCTTATCTCCTCAAGAAAATAATGTCACTTTTTTTTTTTTTTCTTTATGCTTAATTTTCCGTTTATATTTTTCACTTTTCATTTTGGGATGAAATGCAACCTGAAAGCATTTTCAAGAGAGTGGGAGAGAAAAAAATGGCCAGATGTCTACAGAGTCTAGCAGGTCCTTTGAACCAACGGCAACTTATTGCTTAAGAATCCAGAACCTGCTTTTGCACTACATGCACATCTATGGGTCTCTGCTAACCTTTACAATCAGCTCTCTCCGAGGTCTTCATTTAAGGCAAATTTCCACTTCAGCCAAGAGTGGACTACAGCGCCTGATGATATAACGCAGACCCAGCTAGAAGACATGCCTGATTTAGCGCTGTCAGTGAGCACCTCTATAACCAGCAGCAGCACCAGGCAAACATGCCCAGCATCTAAAGCAGTGTACAGTACAGCGGCAGATTCTCATGATCGGCCCACCATAAACATGTCCAACAATGTGTGCATTATGATCGCATGTCTGTTCCTTCAGCTGCAGATTCAAACAGTTTCATTCAGCCGGGCACAATTTCCTGCCATTAAATGAGGATATAAAAAGTTTCCAGCTGTCCTCTTCTCTGTAAGGAATGCCGGCTGGACCTTTTTGGTTTGAATTTCTTTCACCTCCAAAATATTGTCGTGTCATTCAGTCACACTGTCCCTTCTGCGTCCTCCTGTGGGGCAAATTATATGAAATTCAGTTCATGAAACAAATCTTTCAGTCAGTGCTCTTTTAATACCACACACACTTGGGCATCATCACAGGAAGAAAGTTTTAAAAAGAGACTATTTTGAACCATATATCTGTTAAGTGCACACAAATCACTAAGCAGAACAGAAAGAAGCTCAAAGCTTCGGTATGAATTGGTTACAGCACAAATGTTTGTGTTTTTGATCAACTGCTATGTTTGAATATTTTCACAATCACTGGAAAAATATGAATTTAAAATTTTATCATTTGAATTCTAACCAATGAAATATTTTAGAGCTAAAGGAAACTAGAAATATATATATATTCAATAATACATTTTCCTGACTGATCAATGATTTTCATCCATTTCCATGGTTTTTAGTGAAGATTTCCATAACTTTTCATGCAACTTTAAAGATTTTATTAATGTGCTTGACTTTTTTGTGACTTTTTCCCAATTGAATTAATTTCCATAAGTCTTCTACAACTTTTTACTTTAGTATTGATTTCTATGACTTTCCTGTGACAATTTTAATCATTTCCATTCATTTTCGGCGACTTTTTATGATAGTATTTATTACCACGACTTTCATGACTTTTTACAATTTTAAACATTTGCATAATTTTTCTGTGACTTTTTACATTAGTATAGATTTTCATGACTTTCCTGTGTTTTTTTCACAATTTTATTAGTTCCCATTAATTTTTGGTAACTTTTTTTTATGATAGTATTAATTTAATTTCCATGACTTTTCAATGACTTTGTTATTTCAATGATTGTCTGTGGCTTTCAAATATTTTAAGATTTTTATTTCCATGACATATTATTTCCATAACCTTCCATATCTTTTAAAAATTCCCTTTCTAGGTTTTTGCCCAAAATATTTCCAGGTTATCCTCAACCGTGGAATGCCTGTTACAAAAACATCAAGCGACATTTCTTATTTTTGCCTTCACAGGAGTGTTGCTCAATGCAGCTCAACACATTAAAGACAGCATGCTGAGCAGCACGTGAGAGATGCGGCGTGTTTCATGCGGTTTTTCCCAGCAGGCTTCATTAAGGGCTCTGAGAGCACATGCTGTATTTCAATCACTATTCAACCAGATAGCTATTTCTGTCTCATATAGATTTTTTTTTGCCATTGACAGTTTGTCAGGTCAACTTGCAGTAATGTATGAACTGTCTGTGTTACAAAAAAATCAGTACCAAACAAACGCCTGCAATGATGCCATTTATGATGTGTATTGCTGGAATACACACCTACATCCAGCTTCATTCAGCACAACCATAACAAGCCGATCAGAATCCAGCCTGTGTGAGCGTACCTGTGCTCAGGGGCTCAGAGAGGGACACTCAAGTGATAGATGTCCAGGGAGAGGAGATTGGGTCCGGGGGAAGAGTGGAGAGGAGAGAAGGAAAGTGAAATGGAGGGTTGATTTAGGAATTCTGTGCATCTATACCTGCGGGGGTGAGAACCAGCGCCTGCAGGATGTCCGAGAGAGAGATGATGCCCTCGATGCTGGAGTTATCATCCACCACTACCAGCCTGTGCACCTGCAGGACACACACACACACAATCAGGGGCCGTTTGATATTCATCCGGTGCATGTTTACATGGAAAAACAAAAAAAGTATATATATGCACAGTATATATATATATATATAATATATATAAAGCCAAAATAACTTAAATGAAAACCATTCCATATTGATCTCTGACCTCCTCATTTAATACAGTTTTTAATAATTTATTTGCATTATAGTGAATCTGTGGCATGCTGTTGATTACCACAGAGAATACATTTGAATCATAAAAAAAGGACAGAAAAAAGTATTTATATAATGGAAGCCAAGGAGGCAAGCATACTGAAGGGTTTAAAAGCAGAAATGTTGGTAAAGTACTTAAAGGAATAGTTCACCGAAAAACGAAAATTCTCTCTTTAATTACTCACCCTCACGTCGTTCCAAACCCGCAAGACCTTCGTTCATCTTCGGAACACAAATTAAGATATTTTTGATGAAATCCAAGAGCTTTCTGACCCTCTATAGACAGCAAGAGTCCTACCACAATCAAGGTCCAGAAATGTAGCAAGGACATCATTAAAATGGTCCATGTGACATCAGTGATTCAACTGGAATTTTATAAAGCTACGAGAATACTTTTTGTGCGCAAAGACCTTGATTGTGGTAGGACTCTTGCTGACTATGGGAGGATCAGAGAACTCTCGGATTTCATCGAAAATATCTTAATTCGTGTTCTGATCATGAATGAAGGTCTTACAGGTTTGGAACAACATGAGGGTGAGTAATTAATGACAGAATTAACATTTTTGGGTGAACTATCCCATTAAAGAATTTTTCGGTAACACTTTATTTCAGGGACCAATTCTCACTATTAACTAATTGCTTATTAACATGCATATTATTAGCATATTGGCTGTTTATTAGTACTTATACAGCACATATTAAAGGGTCATGAACTCCCCCCCCGTTTCAGCACTGGTTAGTTCTCACTACAGTTTTAAAAAATGCTAAAAAAGTGGGCGCGGTGCGCTGAGCGCTGTGCATGAGTGCTTGGGGGGGGGTTGGACGAGACAGACAACACACACAGCTTTGTGTTCAGACAGTTTCATTTCGCTCCCATGGGCTCTAGACTCATTATTCACACTTGTCTCACTTTTGTGACAAACTTTCTCAGTTGGTCACAAGAGCACGTGATTTGGTTGCACTTTTTTTTTTTTGCTACAACATAGGATTAATCACTGCATGCTGATGAACAGTTTTTCTGTTACCATAGTTTATAGTTATATGGTAACAAAAGTGCTTAACATTCAACCCATTCTTATTCATCAGCAGTGTTGAGGGTAATGCATTACAAGTAACGCGAGTTACGTAATCAGATTACTTTTTTAAAGTAACTAGTAAAGTAACGCATTACTTTTTCATTTAGAAGGAAATATGTGAGTTACTTTTTCAAATAAGTAACTCCAGTTACTTTGTTTCCATGTATTG